TCAACCATTTCGAGAGAACGAACATCATTGCTATCCACTGCAAGAGGGTGACGATCCAGCTGAAGGACCTGAGGCTGGTTGATAACTTGTCCAAGGCTCGCTGGGAATACAGATACCAAGGCATTACCGACGAGCAGAAGAGAGCAGAAAAGCTACGGCAGATGAATGCTGCAAGGCAAGAGGAGAGAGATGCGCGGGCGGGGAAGGGGCTGTCAGGGAAGACAGCAGCAACACGTAAAGGCGGTGACACTCCAGCGGCGTCATCGAAGAGGAAAGGAGCCTCGCGTAAAGGCAATGCAACAAAGAAAAGCACGAGATAAGAACACAGTAAAGACTGCAGTGAGACCGCGCCACGTGACTTGCATTGACTTGCTGTTATCTGCGGCCTGCGGCGGGATACAGGGGTTGTACTGTAGTAGTGCAGATTCGTTTTTTTGTTTGTGTGTGGGCCTGACCGTTGACGAAGTTTGTTGGGACTGACCGCACGCCCCATATGCAATTCTGAATATTGCTGGGCTAGTACCAACCGCTCTTGTGCATACGACCTCACTGTCGAATTGACAGCCCCGGGCTATTCGGAAAGCCAGCGGTGTCAACCGCTATTCTGCGGGATGAGCCCATAGCCGGGTAAGGTCCAGGCCAAAACTGGGCAAGTTGAGTCGGTGCCGTTGGTATAGGTGGTAGCGCAGACTAGGGCAGGCGTATGTAAAGTGTAGATGCATGCTGGGGGATCTTTCTTCCCAATTCATACTTCGTGGTGTGAGTTCCTGTGCACGACGTTTGCTGCACGAGTCTGGGCCCGATACACAACCGCTATTGTGTTGTGTGCTGCATGAGCTGAGTACTGGCGATCCCGCAAGAGCTGTTATGTGCTGCATGAGCTGCTGTGAGCCGTGTGCTGTGTGGTATTTGAGATGCTGTGTGTTGTGCGATGTGTGTTGTATGCTGCACGAGCTGCTGCGTGGTGTGTGCTGTGTATTGCATGATCTGCTGTGTGTTGTGTATTCTGTGTTGTGTGTTGTGTGCTGTGAGTTGTGTGGTGTGTGCTGTGTGTGCTGTGTGTCACCTGCTGTGTGCGGTGTGCTGCATGAGCTGAGTAGTGACAGTCCTCCTGTGTGCTGTATGAGTCTGGGGCTAGCAACGGTCTGGCCTATCACAGGATTGATTGTGGAGACCGTGCGGTAAGCCTCAGACCTTCGTCAAGTTTAGGGTGGAGTTGGGGAGGTGCAGCCATAGCTGCTTGTTCTCAGAGAGTTCATCGTGTGAGCTTCATCGACGTCAGAGACTGTTGGTGCTGTGCTTCTTCTGCGTCCTCAGTGTTTGACTGTTTCGTCGTCCCGCTGGTCTGTCTCTCTCTTGTTTTTGTAGCGCTGGTGTCTGATTTATTTATCAGGTGCTGGCTGATATTGTATGCTCTGTTCACCGCTTGTGCGTATGCTGTTGAGGTGGCGCTGATGT